AAACCCGGGGGGGGGGGGGGGGGGGGGGGGTTGGGAAGCCGCTCAGCAACCTTATTCACGCCAGGTCGAAGAGCAAGTGAAGGTCGTCTAGAACAACCAGCCCGTGTGTTTGAGAAGCCACGTGAGGGACTGACATTTTTCGCCCTGGGAACCTCGTGTAACTCTGCCCTTGCAACAAAAAGCGCTAGATGCTTGTGGCACCTTGGGGTATAGCTTTCATCTCCAATACAATAATACATGTACCCTTTTCTTGTTTGGAGAAGAGATGAGCGAACGGCGCGCGGAAGAGATAGTTGTTCGGTCAATCAGCGCGAGGCAGTTTTGCCACGCCAAGTCGACCAAAAACGCTGAAGCGCTCTTCAGATCTTTTGCATGCCATTGCAGAATGCGAGCGAAGCATCTGGGAAAAAACTCAAAGAAAGAACGAAACGGTGCTCCGAGTCGCCAAATGGCGGCACCAATGCGAAGACAGGAAAACAAACTTGACAGCAGTTTGGGAGGTGTGTTGGGAGTGAGTGTGGAACAATAGTTGTCCATCAGCGCTTCCGCGGCAGGCGAAGCAGCATATGCGCAGGTGTTGGAATTATCATGGTGATTTCTTCGGATGGCCATCACGACGTGGTACAACATGACTGGCGACCCTGAATAGCAACAAACGCAGCAGCAGACCGAAGCTTTGGCATGAGCAGGTTCAAAGACACATGGAGCCTCCAAGTTTTGCTGGATTCAAAACTGGTACAATAATTACTTTCAGGCGAGTTGGATTGCCTGGAAGGACTCGTTTACTGCTGTGTCTCTTCGTCATATTACGGACGGCAGTTGATGCACCAGACCGACCTTCTTGGAAGTCGGCGAAAAATTGGATCATCACAGCCGAAGCTCTTGCAATCCGAATATTAACAGGGAATGGGCTGGCTGCTCTCGCTGGATTTTTTTTTTTTCATGTGCTGCTCCCAGCCTTATGGCCCTTTTTTTAATGACATTGTCCGAGTTTGCCGTCATCGGCGCGTAGATGTACGGATGCCACCGCCGTGCAGGCGACGGCCACGACCTACGTCAACGGTCAAGGCGAGCAGCAAAACAAGATTTGTGTAAAACCAAAATGACTGTCTATGCTTGATGAAGCTAGAGCACATCAGTATAAAAAAGTACCCTTTCGTTGTGGTCTTAATTGTTTAGAGTAAATCATTCCTCACCCAGCACCGAAAATGCTTGTACAACTTTTTTTTTCAATGGCACACCCCCGTTTCGGCGTTCGCACACCCTCTCGAAAAACGTGGCCTTCGCAGGGAAGTGAGTTAAACCTCCGTGTGGCAGACAACTTTCTACGGGCGGGGCGCGCGCGGGTTACATACCCGCCTGTCACATTATATCATGGCTCGACAACGCCGCCCTCGCCCCGTGCGGTGGCTAGGCTTGGTTGTTGTCACCTGCTGCTGCATGCTCCTAGTCCGACAAAACGCGGGCGTGTTTGCAACAACTAGCGAGGACGACGACAACGCTGCGTTGAGTCCGACCGCGGCTCCGCAGACCGCGGCTCCGGCGACCGGAGATCTGGCGACCGAATCTCCGGAGACCGGAGAATCTGCGGAGATCCCGACTCCGGCACCCTCGGATGGCTCGCCCGAGTATCTTGGCTGCCTCGGCTACACCAATCACATAAAGGATGGGTACTGCGACACGGACCTCAACAACGCGGAGTGTGGATGGGATGGGGGTGAGTGGGGCTGGTTGCTGCTCCCTGCCACCCGATGGCGTGTTTTTCGCCGAATTGTTTTGTTTGCACCATGCCGACACGAATGCGGTCGCACCGTCTTGGAGAGAGGGAGTTGAGGGGTGGCGTGTCGCTCGTCCTACATATCGGCTGACTGTGCGGCGTACCCGCATCTCACTGTTCGCGAAAGCATGCCAGCTGGTGGGCGCGTTCTTACCGTCGGTTCAATGCGCATGTAGGTATTGCCGTGGCACAGTCGTTAATAGGGAAATCACGGGGGAGGGGGGGCAAACACTCGCTCCTCGTACGCGGAGTATGTCCGTTTTTTGTTGTATCCGACGTATTGACAATACACCGGTAGTAGACAGTTAATATATTACGTGCTTCGCACACGTTGTCTCCCTGCGTGCTCAAACTCCATATGGGTGGGTTTTTGTTTGCCACCGTGTGAAAGGTAGAGTGCCGTGTTTTACAGCGTGGCTGGTGATATAGCATCCTTTCATCGATGGGAGGATGATACGACGATCCGCCTCCTCGCATGGTTGGTTCGATTTTTTCTAGCGGCACTGTTGGATGTGACCCAGCTGCTGCTTCAAACACACACCGAAGAGCAGACTGGCGCCCGATCGAGACAAAGAAACAACCAAATGCTCCGTGTGCTTCAATTTTTTAACCGGTCGTTTTGTCACTCCATCGCAGGCGATTGCTGCGCCTGTACCTGTGGCTCGGACAGCGACGAGGAACTTGCGCACCCTTGCGGACAGCTGGGGGACGGCTACGACTGCCTCGACCCGGACGTGCCCGACGACTGCGGCGTTACACCCAGCCCGGCCGCTGCAATCGGCTATCCGGACTGCGAGGAGTACTTGTACGAGTGGCAGGACGGAGTTTGCGACGACAATCTCAACACCGCCGAGTGTGGCTACGACGGGGGTGAGTGCCGCGGTGCAGCAGTGACCTGAGCTTGGGGCACGGAAAAATCTGGCAGTCTGGTGTGTGGGGTTATCCTTTGGCGGGGGGTGCGAGGCCTTTGCCGAGCCCTTTGGCTGCCTTTCGAGTCGCCATGCGTTCCATGACGGTGTCGAAACACCCGGCGGGTTTCGTCATCTTATTGTGTGCTTGTGTCGTTGCGCGTCTCGCTTTGCCGTCGTGGTCGCAGGCGACTGCTGCCGCTGCACGTGTCGAGACTACAATTCGTGGGGGTACTACACCAACTGCGGCTACTACGGGTACGACTGCATGGACCCCGACGCCCCCAGCAGTTGCAGCACGGACAGCCCGACGCCTAGCCCTGCCGCGGGGACCGACTGGCCGGAATGCGAGGGTTACATCTACATGATTGGAGACGGGTGCGTGAGGAGGTTATCAAAGGGTACGACGAATGTGTACCATGTTAGCCGGACATGCCACCCGTTCAGGCTGTTGGTGCCTTGTCTTGCTACGAGACACAAAGCCTTACAGTATAGGGGCGAGACTAGACCAATGATTTGTCACCGTCGCGTTCGAAAGCTCGCCCACTTCCACCAGACCCCTTGCGTGGGTGGCACCCGATATTGGTGTCTTCAAGGTTTAGGTTGTGTATTATGCAGGAGAGCTTTTTCGCACCGAGACGCGTCCTGAGAGGAATCTGCATGCGATGTTTCCCCGCGGCAGGTCCTGCGACTACTACAACAACAACGAGGAATGCGATTGGGACGGGGGTGACTGCTGTTCCTGCACGTGCGAAGGTGTGGCGTTGCCTCTGCTGTTGCTGTTGTTGTTGTTGTTGATGGCATTCGTTGCTACTCTCGCCCTGTGCCTGTACTCTGTCGCTTTGTCTGTACGCGCGGATCGTTGGTGAACGTTGCTACCCTACGTGATGTCTTCTCGTCACAACCGTCGTATTTAGCGCACGGGTAGCACGGAAGACTGAACAATGTCACTTTTCGGCTTGCTTGGCGAAAGGGATGTCCGTGTCTCCCGCGTGCGTCGGAGGCAAAGGCCTTCCCTTTGTGACGGGATCCATGGTCTGGGCCCTGTTGTCGCATGTTTGATTGACCAATCCGATTTGTATGCTTGCACGGGTTTCGGCTTCAGCCCGTAGATGTGCTGTACTTCATTCAGATTGCGATAGGTCCCTCAGGGTGCTCGCGCGTGTTGGCCGCCTGTGGCGTTGTCAAAAAACTTCCGGAAGTTGAACGACATCACGCACCCAGCGAGGTGCAATGTCCAGGGCGGTGGTGACTCGTTTGCGCATGGCCATCAACGCTAGTGTTGTTTGACTTTGATTTTGACCGTATTATTCGTTTTTGGGAGGGACATTTTGTTCCCGACCGGCCAAGCCAATTCCGGCTATTTTGTGACATCAGACCAATGCCTCCGTCCGCCAATAAACACCTGCCGCTGCTCGCCCGTTGCATGCTATCCATCCCAGGGTCCTCCTACTACTCGTGTAGCTCCTACAGCATGGACTGCCAGGATCCGAACGCCAACTGCACCACACCAAGTCCCACTCCCTACTGCCCTTGGGCATCGGACGGCTATTGTGATTCTTACTACAATACCGAGGACTGTGACTGGGATGGAGGTGGGTTGTTTTCCAAACAAATTTATGTGTGAAAGCGAGAGTCGGCTACATATATACGACGGCTACTTGTTGTTTTGTTTTCCAATGGCGGAGAGGCGCCGTTTGTGCGGCGGTCGTTAGTTTTCGCATGCACAGCACCAGCATTGCCTAGTTTGATTTTTTCGCCCGCCTCCTTCAGAGCTTTCACCAACGGCGTTCATCCCATCTGCCAGCAACATCCATGAGCGCATGTTTCGATCTCTGGCTGTTGCACAAGTTCTCATGCCCATGCTTGCCGACCAACATCATGTGGCGCCTAGTAGGAAGTGCTGTAGATCATGTTTGACCACCTTCGACCAACGTTCCGAGTTCTGTGTTTGGTGATTTTTGCTTGCCCACCACGCAAACACCAATCGTGCAGCAACCTGTACTCTCAAATACCCGACTCTTTTCCCAGCTATTCTTTCCCCCATTTTCTCCCACCATCCGGAGATGCGCAAGCTTGTCTGCACAGTCAACCCGTTCCCTTCACCGCTGAGTGTCGCGTTCGCCACACCACGCCGAACGAAACAACGCCACAGGTGACTGTTGCGCTTATGGCTGCTCGAGCACTACCTGCCTTGATCCGATCTACGGCTGCGACTCCATCACCACCTACTATGGTGACAACGACGTCTCCACCTCGACCTTCAGCACATACCTTACAAGCTCCGACGCTGATAGCGTGTCTTCGGGGTGTTTCGATGGCGACTGGGCCGTGTCAGACGGAAAGTGCGATTCCGGGAATAACAACGCAGCCTGTGACTACGACGGCGGTGAGTACGAGTCACCGCTCTTTCTGTTTTGCCGATTGGCCGAAGTAACCGAACACGACGGACATGATCCAGTTTGATCGTTGTTGGCTTGGGCCCGAGTCTAGCGACGCTTGGTCTCTCCGGGATTTCTGCATGCATCACCATTCCATCAACTCGCTGAGAACTTCAACGCGTTACCTGATGAACGGGAGTGATAAATAGATATATACCTTCTCTTGAACTTTTGCTTGGCGGCGTTTTCTGGTCACGAATGAATACGGCAGGTGATTGTTGCGAGTGCGACTGCTACGATTACGGCGAGGTTTACGAGTGCGGGGTGGTTGGCTACTATTGCCTTGACCAGACCTCTCTCTGCTACGGGAGCACAAGCGGCGAAAGTTCCGACAGCGACGACTCCTACGGCGACGACGACTACGACGAGCGTGGTGCCTTCTCATTCACGCCGACCCCGGTCGTTGTCACGGAGGAGCTGTCCCTGCCAAGCTACTCGGAAATGAGCGTCTCGAAAACCGAGTTGGGAGGAATACTTGCGTTGTCCTTCTGGGGCTTCTGCATGCTCGGGTGCGGCGCTTGGGCCGTCTGTGGCGTGTTCCGCAAGAAGGTATTCGGGGAAGAGGAAGAGACGGGAGGAGGCTCCCCAGCTGCCGCCGCCACGCTCAACAGGACTTCTCTCAATGCTCACCAGCAGCGCCGCCCACGACCCTCGACCGAGCGCGGACGGTATTCCGTCAAGTCGCGGGGGGGCCGGCGGAGTTCACCGTCCCGCCCCCCGTTGGATGCGACCGTGGCTGCCGCGTTGGCTCTTCCGGGGGATAACCGGCATGCAACTCCGACCTACAACACGTACGACGACCCCGCCGTGGTCAGCAGGAGTGCTAACACCGGGGTAGAGGAGACCAAAGGCGACGGTGAGGTGGAGCTTGGCCGCACGTTTGGCGGAGGGCGTAGCGGCGGTTGGGACGAGACCAAGACCGAAGAAGCGCACGGCATGTTTGCCAGCAGCAACGGCGGTGCTACAGAACCTGGCGATGGGGTTACAGAACTCAGCGGTGGGGCTGCAAGCGTCGATGGTGATGCAAGCGTCGATGGTGCGCTAGACGCTGGTGCTGCGGCAGCTGCCGGGGCTGCCGCCATTCCAGGAGATGACCGGCAAGCCTCCCCAGCCGTTGCTGTTGCTGTTGCTGTTGGCCAAGAGAGTGAGGACGTCGGCGTAGCTGCGAGCGTCGATGGTGCTGCAAACGTCGATGATGCGCCAGGTGCTGGTGTTTCGACAGCTGCGGAGGCTGCCGCCATTCCAGGAGATGACCGGCAGGCCTCCCCGGCGAACAACGCGCATCAGGACCCCGCCGCTGTCGGCCAAGAGAGTGCCGACGCCGGCGTAGAAGAGACCGAAGGGCAAGGAAAGGCGGAGCCTGGCGGCGTGTTTCACAGCGGTCGTGGTGAGGGTGGCGGCGAGACAAAGAGCGGAGAAGAGCATGAGAACGTGGCAGCGGACGTGAGCGATGTTGGCAGCAACGGCGGTGCTGAAGATGTTGGCGATGGTGCTGGGAGCGTCGGTGCTGGGAGCGTCGATGGCGCGCCGAGCGCTGATGTTGCCGAGGCTGCCGCTGTTCCGGGGGATGATGCGCCAAACGTCGATGCTGCTGGAGGAGACGACAATGTTGCCGGCGACGACGTTTCGGCGACGAGTGACGAACGGTCGGGAGATGAGGTTGACACGGGGGTACGGGAAGTAAATGAAGTAGCGGTCAAAGGCCCTAAGTTGTCACCTTTGTACCGGCCCTCTGAAGGCGAACGCTGACGACGCACGGAGACCTGAGCTTGTATTCCTTAGTTTTCTCTCTACTCTCTTTGTCCCTCGAGCTGATGTCTAGAGATCGGGTCTTGGCTTGATTTGAGCGCAGAGTATGGACAAGCCGTCACGGTACGCTCGAATAGCACATTGGCACGTGAACCGAACGATAGGTGAACAGGAATACGAGTGGTACGTTCACAGCAGTGGACAGGCGTCTCAGGGTCCTCTTTCTTGCTTTTTTCAGGTGTTTTGTTTTTAGTGCAAACCGGGGATAGCCGGTCTCAGGCACGAGACCGCCACCTTGAAGAGTCGTACCAGTTCCCTGTTCGTCGAAGGTGCGGCTTAGACACACGAGGGAGCAACCGACAGCTCTGTGTCTCCGTCTCTATGTCCCTTGATGTAACCGTAGTATCGCAGCCAGTACAGAATGGCATGTACTACATAGGATTCAGCCACGGAACACGATCGTATTTGAATGCATCCACACACACAAGCCGCCAGTTGGAGTCGCGACGTTGTTAGATTTCATTGGGGAGACCGACGGCGTACTAGTCTAGTGAGTGACGAGAAATCTCCAGGCGAGATGGGGGCTGCAGGTGCCGGAGATAGAAGGAGATGAAAGTACAAGGGAAATGCCTGTGGTCCTTTGATAGGGATAAACACAACGCACCTATTTGTAGATATAGTGTATTTTGTTTTCTTCGGAGCAGGGCCTTGGGGACTGGAGGAAGAACGGTCGCAGAACCACATCTTCAGTATCGTAGCATCAGTTGATTCATTGCTCCTGTATTCACGCGGTCTTTTGTACGCAACCTTTGTGTTTTTCAGCGGCGCTTTGGAGCGTCCGGGTGTTATCTTCCGCTTTGGCCTGGAAGGGCAAACGCCGGTGTCACGGGCAATAGAGTTTATGATGCCCCGTTCATGGTTTTGGGTGCGGGCTGGGCGGTTCAGTGTGATTTCGTGTTGACCCAGTATTTTAGTCTGATCTCCATACTTGAATCCGATTTATTGGTATGTATGCCTGTGTTGCTCAAAACGCGGAGACATGGTATGTGTTTTTCGTTTGACATCGAATCGGCTGGGCAGTTCGGTGTAATTTCGTGTTGACCCAGTATTTTAGTCTTATCTCTATACTTGAATCCAATTTATTTTTATGTATGCCTGTGTTGCTCAAAACGCGGAGACATGGTATGTGTTTTTCGTTTGACATCGAATCCTGTAAAGCTGGCAGCATGGCTGAATACTGAAAATTAGATGACATGATGTGTAGGAGGGTCCGCGAGCCTACAACCTACATAATATCGATGGAAGCATGTTGTGATGTGTTGATACCGTGCAGAGGTCGGAAAACAGCGAATTTCATTTGTTTCTGGTCGGGAAAACTCTCGACAACCCGTTGTCGTCGGGTGTGCGGGGGGAGAGCAAACATCCTTTAAAACGAATAAAGAAGCAGTGGCGAAGCTTCGCTGTTCCCAAATTGAAAATCGGAGTTTCACTCAACAATCACCGAAAACCGGCACTATGAGTTCTGTAGCAATTTCTCTCAGCTCGCGAAACGAGCCCGCCGCCTCCTCCCGCGGCTGAGCCTTCTTGCCGAGGGTCTGCCTTCGAGTGTTTTGGCCCACAGAACGTCCAACCCATCCAATCGTTATTCCCAAAGCGAGCCCGAGGCCATATGAATTCACCCAGTTGTTGGAGTGTGAATTCTCACTCTTACGGCCCGCGAATCACTGCATTCATCTGTGAACTCCGCCAAAAAGCCCCTCGATTTAGGCTATTTCGTGCACTCGGTGGTGACACCGATCTACGGGGTCTACACTATCAGTGTCTAAATGGTACGTGCACAGGTGGAGGTCGACCCCCCTTCCCCAAAATGTCGGATGCTTTCGCCCCGTTATGGAGACCTTGATCTTGACAAGGTCGAACACCTTGCTTGGAGAAGACAACCAAGGCCTCAAAAATACCTCGAATTCTCCCCTTTCGAGGCCTTGCTTGTCTTCTCCAAGGTGTTCGACCTTGTCAAGGTCTGCACAAGGGGGCGAGGGCATCCGACATTTTGGGGAAGGGGCGTCGACCTCCATCTGTGTGGCAGGAGAAAGTATGATATGTCGGAGCCCCCCCGCTCCGCATGCCATTCTCACCCTCTCTACGCTTTCTGAGACTACCTTAATTCCGCGGAGGTTGGGTCCACAACCAATATTTTCTCTTCGACCCGGGTCAGAACGATGTACGATGTACCTCTTCTCACGACAAGCCATGGTATTCAGTATGACGATAGGCCTCAAATCACCACACAATAGTCACTGCTGTCTGCTGTCCGTGATCCTGACCTTTCGCCGAAGAAGATGAAATCGCCATGTTCAACAAAGGATGACACACGCTTGCACTGAAATCAACAACGCCTACTACCAACCTGGGTAAGGCATTCACAGGGAGAACATAGGTCCCAATGAGGTGAGTTTGATGCCCAACGCGAAAACATGGAATCGCTTCGATATGTAATTTCTTCGACCCAACGAGTGCTATTGAGTGACGGAGCCCCTTATGCCAGGCCCACCTTGACCGCTGCAAAATGTAACCCTGTCGGTCATCGTGATTATTGTATGAACGAGCTCGATACTTTTCCCTTTCGAGCCTGATATCCTTCTCCGAAAATGCAGTTGGGAAGGCCTGAGTTCACCGTTTGGTCGCCAAAACTTGTTGGCACAGTAGGTATATAGCAGGCCGTCGTTCACTCTCCTACATGTAGGCCGTCCATCTTCACATATATATTTGCCTATTCTCGCATACAGAACCCCCCCATCATGGCTGCACCTCTGCTTGTTCGGCAATGGGAGGGAGGTCCTGGCGTGAATCGGTCATAAATGAATGTGGACGCGAATTCCTGGGTACGCAAAATACCACATCAGCAGCAGGAAGTTGAGATCAGACTTGTTCAGTGAACACACGAGACATAAACCGACAATCACTATCACCTAGCTCTGCTCAAGTTCTTATATAATGACTTCAACAGAAACACGCGTAGTATGAGGCTCGTGAGCGTGAGGGGCTTGGTGCTAAAATTACATTGTGAACTACACAAGACGAAGTGCAAACCGCCTGTACATGTAGGTTTTCTGAGGCAACATTTGGATGGCGCAAATGAAATCCCTTGGGGCCAAATGTTGGATTGGGTGCATCCGCTGGTCCCCGCCCTCTGCTACAGTATGCCACCTGCTGTTGATCGTCGCTCACTGTCAAGCATGCATTTTTTTTCGGCGGACAGGCGCATGACGTAACGTTGTTTGTGGCGGACACACAACACGGGCGATGGCGGACGTCCCTCCGTTGACGACTCCACCCGATTTCGGACTTTGTAGAGACACACCATATATTCTTTCGAAAAAAAACTACCTGGTGTGCTACAATATGTGCGGTCATGATCGCACGTCGATGGCCAGCTTTGAATAAGTGCGCTTGAGATTTGAAACGTACAGACCCCTCGAGTTTTGAACCTCATGTACGATCTACGCGAACATTGTGAGTGAACGCCGTGATCTCTTGTCGAACAATCATGTCTTTCACTCCGTCAAAGCGACCAGGGTTTCAGCCGAAAAACTGTAGCACTCACGTCGGCCCGGCATTCATGCACGTTGCTGACGATCAAAATCCCTGTGGGGGGCGAAATACCTGTTGGAGAATATACCGTCAACACGTGTCTAGATCTTTGGAAACGCGCACATCGAATGGACAGAAATCACTCATGACGTTGCCCCTCCGGGCATCATTGCGTTTGTTACAGGCTCAAAACAAGGAAAAGCTGAATTCTTCGTGGAAACCTTTCAGAATGAACAACATTTACGTGTACCTGCCGGTCTTTTCGACTCTGCTGCAGGGTGTCTTGCACTTCGTGTTTCCGCCTGTGGCTTGGGGCTCAGATATGAATAACCTTTTCAACAGCTGGTTTCGAACCCAACAACTTCTTTCAACCGAGAAATGTGCCAACACGACGATACTGAAAAAAAATGAACATATTTATTGGTAGGTGCTGGCGCCGCTCTTCAACACAGCAGGTTCTCACCAGACTCGTACCCTGCACGGCCGAACAGCCCAGCGGATATCCCTAGCCACAATTTGGAATACTGCAATCCGAAATGGCAAGTTCTTTTAGCCACAGTCCTGCACCCAAACGCAGCAAGAATGGGATACGTATGCATACAACGCAATGAAAAATATTCATACTTCGGTACCACGACATCACTACTTCTATGAACTATTACACCCCCATGACTCCTACCCCAAACAATCAAACCTGCCCATTCGCTGCCACACATAAAAAACATAAGACCGAAAGCTTCATATGACTTGAAACAGAGCGCAACACTACCGCAACCCATCGAGATCACAAGCCGCCGCCCTTCTGCTTGAGAGACTCTCTGTCGTCCACTATCTCCAGCCCCATCGACAGGGCCGTCGCCCTCACGGACTTGCAAACGCTCTCCAGGGGAAGCAGCACGCTGTGGTCCTCTGCGTTCTTCACCTTTGCGATCTCGTACAGGGCCTTGAGACCGACCTGGACTCGCAGTCAGTCATTCGTCGGGCGAGAGGGTTAAACGAAAAGCGCCAGACGTGAAGATAGAAACAATTGACCGCTACAGGTAATGGGACTATTCCGGGGGGGGGGATCCAGAAAACACGACGGGTCTGGCCTTAGATTTACGTGTTGCTCCTGGTCGGAAGTCCCATGAGAAACAAATGCGGAAGACTCGTTTTCGAGAGTCGACACGAACGGGATTTCCACGGGACAAAACAAGGCAATGTCTTTCGTTGTCCGCGCGTCTTCTACTGCCCTCGGCGGACTGACTTGCGCTCGGTAAGCATCAGGGCTACCATTCGGGTAGGGCGAATTTCACCCTGAGAAGTTCGCGCAGAAAAATCCATCTGTCCATCCTGGGAAAACCTTGCATGCAAACGAAGCGTGTCCAACACGTCTAGGGGTGAAATCACCCCGAGAACTTTGGGTAAAATCGAACACCAAGAATATCTGACGCCTCAAATAGACGAGCAGAGCACCTCGGTTCGTCCAGCAACCGCTTTTACTCGCTCCACCAGGAAATTGAAACAAGGAGGCGTGGCGACATGAGCATGCCAGCGTACCCTGAAACTATCCTGCCAGGCATCCACCAAAAAATACGGCTGACTCGCGGCTGATCCAGAAGTCTGTGGCTCCGCAAGAACAACATCTATCCTCGTCCCTTGCGCACCAAACCGACCAACAAGTGCCCCTCGGATTGAAGGCGCGAGTGAAACTAGGTGTACGTCGCTTGAGTATTCTGCACGAGATAGGGCGTGTAAGAGCAGAGCAGCAAAAAAACAAGCAAGCGGGCCCGGTACACCGTCCCGGGTATGTCAACGAAGCGAGTAAATACCTGTCGCAGACCAACTCACACAAAACACCAGCTAGGAAGGAGCCGAATACCGTGCCCACGGCACGATTTGCTCGTGTCCAATAATAACCCCATGAACACGCGGAGCAATCCGTGGCACAGTAATGGCACAGTAAGACATGCCCCCGCTCCCTCACCTTTCCGCAATACTCGTGACCGGCTCTGGACCCGCCCTGAAAGACAACAGAAGAAAAACGGCAACCAGAAGGAGAAAGGACGGTCAGTATTTTCCCTTAACTCTGAAACACCAGCACACGGAACGATTCAACGTGCACAACGGGCACCATATTGTTTGATCCTGTCTGTCAAAGGCTAGGCTCCCGTTTCCGCGCGAAGTCGGGAAGAGGGGGCACGGTATCCGCACTCCAATATAAAGCCACCGTTGACTTAAGGCTCAACAAGAGAAAGGCAAAACAGGGAGAGACAACTGCGTACATGCATGTGACATTTCAAACCCTTGCGACCCCAATCTTGTATCGAAACGCAGCTCGGCTAGCGAACAAGGTGGGCACGGGTACTCCAGCAGCTGAAAACTGCTCTCTCACCTGATGCACTTCGAAACAGAACCAGGCGCAACGCTTGCTGTATTGGTTCCTTTGTTTGGAATGTCACCCATGGCTGCTTACAGCACCATGTGTATCGTGGAGTCAGCCGAAAAAACTCCTGTGTGGATGCGACACTGACCTTCTCTACACCCGCGCACCGCTTGAGCATCCACGTCGTCTGCGGCGTGCTCAGTTTGAACGTAAAGCTTCTGTCGGTGTAGGCCGTCAGTTCCTGAAACGGACAGGCAATCACATGACATCGTGACGAGGGAGCGGGGGGTTAGAAAGGGGCAGTCGACGCCTGCAGGGGCAGATAGACGCGCACCAGGCTATTTAGCATGTTGAGGGAGATGAGGGCGGGTACAACAGGACGGCCAGTAATGTATCGGGCTCCTTTGAAAGACTGAAGGCCTGCCAATGCGTTTGGGGGGGCAGGGGTACGGGCGTGATGCAAGAGTAACCACGTTCTCAATTTCCTACACCCGTGGCGTTCTTCTCATGGATTCATGCGTACAACGAGCGTCCCATCATGAACATAAAAACTTGCTGCCGACCGGCAATCTCGCTCGCATGGTGGAACAAAACCTCTCTCTCTCTCGATCATCTCCCTTCCTCTGTCTCTCCGTCTCTCTAAGTGCTGATCTGTCTCCGTCTCTGGCCTCTTTCTTTCAATAAATGCTCTATTGGGCATCTGGGCAATCGTTCGCGTGCTCCTATACCGATCGATCACGGGTTTGTATATGCACGGGAGAAGGAAAAACAAAAATAGAGACAGCAAGAAACAAACAGAGAGGAGGAACTATCTTCGTTTTTCGCCAAACTCCCACCACCGGTGTTCGAGCAAAAAAAACTGCCTGCTGCAGCATGCACCACACGAGACCACAAGGCAGGCACCTCCCTCGTAGCGGGAAAACAGTGGTGCGCGCAAGAGGAAGACATGAAAGAAGCTAGTACGTTCGTGTTCATGGCGCAGCACCTTCAGCACAGAGGGCACAAGAAAACCAGGCCAAACCGTGTACCTTAGGTGATGCTGATTGCGGGGGACAGGATCGTTCGAACTGCAAGGCTGGTATAAACTCTTCAGACGTTCTTCGTATCTACGCCTACCCATTGCTAGGTACGGCCGTTTCCTGCTGTGATTAACTGCCTCCAAGGCAGCTTCACGGTGATGGGAAGCTCTCTCATCCACACGAGTTGGCGTTTTCTTCGGTTCAGTTCAAGCAGAGCAGTCGCTTGAAGACTTCAGGACATGTGGAAGGAACCGATCCGAGGAGGGAGCTGGCCGGATGCAGTACCAGACCATTCCATACTTCGGAAAAAGCAACGGAAATGAGCTCCGCGTGGCACGCCAACTGCAAGAAGCATGCCGGTACGAGTAGCCGTTCCGATGTCGGCACATATCTAATAGTGCAGCCAAGCGCATACCTCCGAAGAGCGCTGTGGGCACCAACATGCCGGCCGTGTTTTTCTCAGCTGGTATACAGGATACCAGCACAGGACAATAACGGGAACACGAGCAATGCCAAATGTTTCGTGTGGCGTGTGGCCCATTCCCAACTAGGCTGCAAGCAGTACATGAAATTTAGAGGCCAAGCAGCTGCAACTGCTGGATTACTGCTGTAGTGTTACCAACGTCTGCTGTAGATCTTTTCCGAGCTCGGTACAAGCACAGATGTTTGCCATGAGCAACATGCTGCGGTCAATGTATCGCAGGTAAGCAGCAGCAATGACATGAGCAACCAACAGCAAAACGCCGGCGGTGAAAGCAGTAGATATTACTTCACCCTCTTGGCATAGGACGCTGGGCATACTGTAGGACAAATAGAGGGGCACCGTTACACCAGTGCCTCCCGTAGCCATCCGAGATGTACCGCTGTATGTGACGTAAGATATCACATCCCCTGGACCGTTTTGATAGCTCGATTACACCACGACGAAGAGGATACATATGTAGATCAAATGAGTTTTCGGAACGCTATCGATGAGGCAATTCCAACGCCGCCACTATCAGCACCACCGCTGCTTTTGCAGCGGAGTATCGAGCTTTGCATCGAGCTTTGCAAATCGCTCCAGGAGTGGGACCTTACGGTGCTACATACTGCTGTAGGTCACCTCCCGTACATGGATTGACTGCCGCAGCATCGCCCTACACAGCATGCATACTTGACTCACACAAGGCATGGGCGTGTTCTGCACGATGTGCTTGGTCTCTTCGTTGAACTTCTTGCAGAACTCCATCATGTTGATGCCCAGAGGACCAAGCGCCTGTCCGATGGCCGGTCCAGGCTTGGCGGTGCCAGCAGGGACCCGCATCCTGACCGTCCGCACAAAAGACATCACAACCCCAGCAGTACCTCCGGCTACAGCAGTGAGTGCTTCAAGAGCTCTTCGTCCAGGCAAGTCGATGAGTGCGTTCGTCACACTGGAAGCCGAGTACAGCCTTCTCGCCAGGAAGCACTTGCACCAGGCACACTCACTGCAGTCAGTGTACTCGCCCGTACTCGCAACTGCCCATGGGGGCTCCGCGGTTTGTATGGCAGTTGCCGGGTTTCCAGGTGCGGCATGCACAGCACGGGACCGTCACTCCTGCTGCATTCCACGCGTGTCCTCGCATCGCACGCTCTCTACGTACGAAACCATGCTCGGGAGTCGCGAGCGGCGTGGATCCACGACATAGACATTACATGAGTTTGGCCCAGAACGGGAAGATGCACCGACAGGGCCGGAAGCTGCGCTTATTGTACTCCTCACTGAACCTTACGGTCGGTGCCCAACAGCAGTAGACTCGTAAATGTACCCTTCGACTATACATGGCGACTACACAGACTACATGTGGGGGCGGGAGGAACTGCACACTGGTGTACTGTATGTACCCCTTGTAGATTCGGCCAGGTCTCTCTGGACGTTGTCCTTACATCTTCCACGGGCACAATTCTGGACGCACCAGCCGGGGTCACACAGCAGGAAGCCCACACAGGAGTTGAATTCTCTTCTGCGGTGCTATTGCTTTCATTAATTATCGCGACCATAATTCAGCGTAACTTTCCCTCAAAGGCCGTGATGTCGATTATTACATATGTATTGTTCGGGTATGGTGTGAAGAACGTACTGAGCAGAGACCGGTTTTTGATGTAAAGGCAACAACAACAACAACAACAACAACAGTCGTTTTCAGATATATATGTGGTCGCGCGCCTCGGGCGTCCGCACACTCCACAGAGATTGTAGACAGCTTACGGTAGTCAACGCAGACTGCTGCAGTAGACTATCACAGTGAGGGATCGAAGCATCTCTCTCTGCAGTGCGGCAAAACGAAAGTGCAACCAACGTGACCCAGGGTTGCATACGCACTACTCGCAGTGCGAGCGAGTAACATGCGTCTGGGAGTAACGACGTACATCACGAACTACTACATGCCACCTTCAGGCTCTACAGAGATATATGTAAGTGTGCACTGCCGCCCTCAGGGTACTATGTTATTCCAGGAACAGCAGATGAAAAAGGACCATGTATTATATATATCCGTCACGCAAGCCCCTCAGGCAAGCTGGTACAACACGCAAGCTCCTCGGGCAAGCTGGTATCCGACACGCAAGCCCCTGAGGCAAGTGCCGGGAGCACACCGCCGTGTGCTCACCCGGGGGGGGGCGCACGTGGACCCCAACCGCATACGTACCCATCACACTCACACTTCCCATACGCGTATCCCCCACAGAGGATGCACAGATCGGACTCATATCCAAGTACCACAAACAATATATATACAAGTAGACAATATATGCTCTGCAGCAGCGTGCAAACGGCGGCACATATCGACGTATGAATTCAAATCAAGAAGTGTATGCATACCAGCATTTAAGATGGAACGTTCAATAATTACACAGGCATATTACACGAGTTCCACCAATGTGGAGGTGATCCGGCTCAAGCATGGACCACATCTGTGGAAACAATGGACGGGAATCGAGCCCGCGGATGACTATTGTAACGGTCTACATTTACCACGTGTACTCATGCTGGACGTGTGCACGTATAGCTTTATGGCTGAAACTGCAAGCGCGCTTTCCACGGTAACGCCCCTCAAGAGTACAAAGGTGTGCAACAATACAAAGGTTGCATATCCAATCCTCGGAAAGTAAGACGAGGCCATTCGAACGACATCTACCGCCCTACAGCACACGAATCCCTGAAAGCTGCAATTTTCTCCGGACACATGTGGGGGGTGGGACGTTGATCTATGTCACACCTACGTTCTTCGGGAACTCCCATCCATTGATCCTAGCAAATTGGCCCCTCTTTGTGGGCTAGCCCTTTCACAAACTGAACGGAGCCCCAAGATTCCTGGCAGGTTAGAATCGGGCGAAGTGCAATCGCCGCTGACGATGCTTTCCGTTGGTTCATTGTCGGGGCTATCCGTGCTGCCCTTCTCGGCGCCACCACCACGTGAAAACACCGCTGTTCCATCTCGGTCTGTCGAAACTCCCTCGCCGCCGAAACATGGCACTTGGATTCCTTTATGAGCCCTTCCCCTATCCTGATGTTGCCCGAGATCGTGAGGTGGTGGAGTGGTTGGTGCAATTTTCTCTTCGCCCCCATCGATCTCGGTGGCTGCGGTATTTTCCCTCATCCGGGTCGTCACCGTTGACAAGAATTTCTCCACATTGGTCTCGAAATCTGGCGAGAGATCCATGCGACTCGTACCGGAATGCTGTGGTGCTTCGTCCGCCTGAGGGTACGACAGGGCACGACCGCCATACTTGAAAACATCACCATATGTCGTGTCTTTCGATGATCAGGGCTTGGGAGGAACCACCGACGCCGTCAACGATAGTTGTGCTAAGCCAGACAGATCAACCATCCCCAGTGTGTGTCATGGTGGATCTCCATCATTGTTGTCTCAACCTTATCGGGGACGTGTCGATGCTCCACCCGGTGGGCTCAAGCTATGAACATGAAACGCAGCCCATCTCCAACAGAGCTTGACTCCGTACATCTTGCGCAATATTGGTTCAACAGCTTCAAAGATAGCACAGTGTTCAAGACTGCCCAGAAGCCTTACGGGGAGGATGTACTTTGCGCGTGCGACAATGTAGCATGCTTGGAGGAAGTTCCAACTACTGCACGCGCTGTCTCGTACGTCTGCACTTGCCTGCGTACGGGGAACCGAACTGTCATCTGCGCCTGGGTCCAGATCGTCCAGGCATCCACCACCAACACATTTTCCTGCGCTTGGCGCGTCCGCCCGGTGCTCCTGCTTTTGGTCGATGAATTTTTCCTTGGCGCGAAGACATAACTGCTCCATGTCAAGCCCCGTCGTAGCCTGCAGTAATGGGCCGACATGAAAGTGCTCCGAGTCGTGCTCGTGACTGATCCGGAAGTTCCGGGCTTTCGCAACGTACTTCCAGGCATGCCGCCAATTCTGGCCGCGTTCCTGCCCGGGCATTGCCGTGGGACAAGGGCCTTCCTTGGTTTCGCCTGAAACAAACCTCCCTTCTTCGGAACGTCTCCAGTGAGCCCACTCGAACACGTTGCACACGCCACGCAACCAAAGAACGAGGGATCCGGCAACGCAGACCGCGCAAAGTACCGCAGCGAAGAACAGCGCGAACAGGCAAGCTATAATGCCCCCCAGGACCCACAGAAACGCTCTGAATTTTCCTTTCTTGTCCTTAAGCTTGATCGACATAAACGTCTCAACCTCATCGTCGGGGTTTTTGACGACCTGTCATGTTTAGATCACAGATCCCCCCGATGTAGTGGTAGTTTCACGTCGATGACGCCAACGTATGGGAGGGGGGAGGGGGGAAGGGTTCAGGTCTCAAGTTTTGTAAGATGATTGAAAGTGTAAAATTGACAAAGAATCTGAAGCATTCTGTCGACTGTCTTTATTTCTTGAGTGACAGTTCCTTTTTTCGGGAGCTTTAGTTGGGGGCATAGATTGGTTGGCCTCCTGCAAAGGAACGTCACCACATGTAGACTTTGGTCTCCCTCACGTTGTACGACACCCAGCAAACGAGTCTCCACGCCACCCACGGAAGGGACAGCACCCAGAGCAGCGCATTGAGCGCCACTGCGACCAAACCCATCGTTGACGCGAAAAGAAGCCTTTGCAGCAATCCGTCGAAGGTGTGCCAGCCATACGTGGAAGTAATCGGCGCAAGGGTCTTTTCTTGCTGACGCAGTCCACACCTGAACGCCGATCAGACGCCGTGCCAGTTCAGTCTTAGCGCGAATGTCATTGCGAACCGGCAAACAACCCCCACATCTGAACATGCTTCGCCTACACAAACATACACGCATTGTTTCCGGGTCTTCGCCATGTGAATCTCGCTTATTGCCCGACCCTTGATTCCGTTCTCCGCCCCTTACCTGCCCGCGTCAACCCCCGCCCACCAAGTTAGCTCACTGACCCCATCCAACAGGAAGCCCATCACCAGCTGGACCAGATTGAACGGTGGCGGAATGCGTCGGTGTGCAACCGCGCGCGCACTCTGTAGAATCAACCTCGTGCGGGCGAGGTGGAATTCCTTTTCACCGTTGGCGTTGACCTAAGAATCGAGGGAAACTTGTTTAACAGCTTGTTGTGGGTGGTGGAAGGGGGAGACTTGAGGTCGCTGACTGAATGTCTTGTAGGGTACGACGGCCAATCGTTCTAGTGTTGTAGTGGTGGCTTGCTGGGTGCCCCGTGACCGTGCGCATCGACCGTGGGTACGGATTTTCCGTGAGCTGTTGCTGGGGGTCTCCCTTACCTCTCCGTGAGCCGTGCTGAGGACGGCGATGAGAAGGTTGAGCATGACAACCGCAAGAACAATCAAGTACGCCTGGTGGTCAACATTTGCAGAGACGAATATTGGCACGGTGAGAGGGGCGAAAGTGTTGTGGAGGGAAGCATTTGTGAGAGGTATCGCAGAATAGTGGAATTATTGCGTGCTGGCTATTTTGAAAATCGCTCATCAACACGAGAAATGGCTGTAAGGGATTCGACCATATTACGACGTAGCAATCGTGACAGTGGTGTTTTTGCGGCCTAACGGTATCATGGCCGTGGAACCCGAGCCGAGGACTTACGCGCCTCCCAGACGATAAGAATCTGACAACAATCGAGATCTTTTTAAGACCTACAGGTTCGTACAAAAAAAGGTTTGCGGATAATATCAACCCCACCTGAGCCCCACCGGATGGTGTTCGATACAACCCTGCAGACGAACCACCCACTCACCACCAGCAGGAAGGTGCCTGCATCGCTAGCCCGCCCCGGTGAAGGGTTGTACGGGCACTGGCCGCCGACGTCATCGAAGTCCTCGAACTTAAACTCCCCGAGCGGCGCTTTAAAGACGGTAAGGAGTGCTGTGCCGAAGGAGCCGTAGCTCTCGTCAAGGCCACTCCCGGCGTCGCAAGACCCAAACACGGCGTTGAACGCAAGGGCGAAGCCTGCCATGACCACCACTATGAACACTCCGAAGCGGAGGGTCTGGGACAGCATTCTCCAGATTATCTGGCAGGAAGGACAGAATAATCGGCACGGGGAATGCTCGTTACCTCTTGCTCACGGAGCAATTGCAATGGAGATTCGGGTGGGCTTCACTCAACCCAGTTAAACGCTTAGAAAATACGCCCGGAGGATGGGCAAACAAGAAATCGTGGATCAATCATCGACATATTTCTCACCTGAATCATGGGCCCCAGCGTGTTGTCAATCTGGGAAAGTCGCAACAGCCTAGCGAACAGTAGGGGCGCGCTGTAAGATGGCAAGCGAGGTGTAAGGTGGAGTGCGGGTCGGTTGGCATATGTTTGGCTGAACACAGTCTTTCCCTTTCAACGGTAGTGAAGAGGCGACGGCCTCTATCACGTGTCCCTTTCCGGAAGGATAAACAAGGTGTCCCGTTTCGAAAGGATAAACAACGACAGCCATCATTTCCTCTGAAAAGCGTATGCAAGCTGTCTAGAGGAGCAATACAAGCCGCAGGTAGGAGTGGGTGCAATGCGTAGCTGCAGTCAGATAGAGACCAGTGGCACCAAAGACGGATGGAGCAGGGCCAGGTGGGTTGGAGGCAAGCGCACATCAATGGTTGGACTTCTTCTTGCTACACGTCCGTCGTGGTTTCTCCTACCCGCATACCTGACGGCTAGGAAGAACTGGGCCACAAAGAAGTAGTCCCCCGGGTCTGTAGGTCCCCCGAACTCGCGTATTCCCAGCAGGCGGAAAACGAAGGCCAGGAAAACCGTCGATAGAGTCAGCGTGTCCAACAAGTTCCAAGTGTCGTAAAAGAGATATCTGCCGAGGGAGCGGATAGTTACAACAGTGCAACCATTCGCCGGTACGTGCAGGCGGGGGCGGGCGGAAAACAACCGGCGGCGACCACGACCGTGGCGTGGACAGAATGTCACCTCGTGTCGTATGGAGAAATTGGCGCGAGACGAAATCGACATGAGGATATGTAGTAGAAGGAGCTGCCTTGTGCAAGCCCCGCCTTTGAAGCACGAAAGCTCGAGAGGTTGAACGGCTATAAATGTTGGGTGCAGGCAAAACCAGACCATGCATATCCAGAGGACGAAAACCACCGATTGTAGCACCTGGTGATTGCAGACGCCACTCGCTTCAGACCCCTCCCTTGCCCATAGTCAACCATGTCAGATCGTTTGCTCGACGCCCCCTGAACCGCAGTAGCCATGTTCGCCTGATTCCCCTCTTTGATGTGCTTGTTCTTCCTGTGCCGCCGGTGACGGGCTGGTACACCGTCGCAGAACTCGAGGATCTCTCGCCAAAGTGTGCCCTTGATTCGCAGAGAAATTGCGTGAAAACGTTTGTCGGAGGGAATGCTTTCCGTTGTGCATGGACGACATTGAGTTTTAATCAACTCCGCCTTCGTGGAATCGCACACTGTCGAGGGAAGCACCCAAACGTGGATTTGAATCTACCGCGAGAATCATTTTCGGACCTTTTTCGGCGTCCGGTAGAATATGGTGAACAACGATATCATGAGCTGATCTGTCTTGATTTGTGGTCTCCTTTTTCCTTCGATGGTTTCTGGCGTAGCCTCGCGTGCCTAGTGGAAGCGATGAGCTCTACATGTCTTATCTCGTATGAATCTGGGCCTTATTCAATCATGATTTCCCCTCCGACCTTCATTTGTGTTATTTCTCGTGTCGCTTTTTTCTCCTTGATATATCTGGTGTATTCCCTATTGAGGGTTAGTAAAGCCTGCTTGTAACCCAAGAAATACAGTACTAAGAAAAAAGCGGAACGTTTTCATTTCGTCAAAAATAGGGTCGAACCAGTCTGCAAAAGTCGGTCTTATATCCTGCTCGAAAAAGCTGCTCACCGCCATGAAGACGTAGAATGCAACCTCGGCGGGTGGGATCCTGTAGCTGTCCTGCAGCTTGACGCAAGAGCAAAACAGCCCCAACATCACCCTGAACGACGAGGGTATGGCGAGAACGTTTGGGGTGTGATACTCTCGATCGCAACAACCACGAGTTGGTTGGTACATGTATACATGCATGTAGTGGTGATCAGTAGCGTTTCATCGAAAATTGTTAGACCCGTCAGTTAGATGGAATCGCTCTTGGAGTTCAAGATCAGCGATATCATTCATTTTGGACATTTCAACCAAAGACCGAGAGTACAACTGCAGTATTCGGGACGTTTCTCACAGATAGTGCAAGAACTCGAGGGCAAACCGGACGGCAGGCACATTGTAGAACACTGCCGGCTTCCCAATAAGCCCCGCCAGGGAGAACTGCAGCATAGGTAATATCGTGGTGTGTGGCAACTTGTTCCGATCCGACCGTCTCGTCGATTTGCCGCGCGGTTGTTCTTCCGGGTTCATGTCCGTGGGGTTCCATCCTTGGAGGAATCTGGCACGCGATCGCATGGGAAAACAAGTAGGACTCGTCACGGCTTCAAAGTGGTGGAGTTGGGTAGGGTTAAGAAACCGAAGCACTACCACCGGTCGGTACACGGTGTGCAGCACGTGCAAGTTCGAGGTGGAAGTGACCTTTCAAGCAGGCTCCGTATGGCCAGGAGTATTGTTTTACCTGAGGAGGCGATCGTCCCACTTCTTGGAGTTGCACGGCTGCGAACCGCCCCCTGGGTTTGCCTCAGGCGGTTCCGGCCTCACCGACAAAACCTCAGAAAAGTTGTACTCGTCGAAAGCATTGTACGTGTAGAATCCCGCGTTGATCGTCTTTGGGATGGAGCTACTCGAGGCCCAGTTTGGCAGAGTGCAGGAAAACTTGACATGGATGTAGTCCAAAACCAGAGGCGAATCCACGAAGTCGAGTGCCTTTGACCCCCTGTCCAGAGCGCGCTGCAGTGGGTCCATGTAGTCGGGACCGTTGTACCTGCCGACCCGGCAACCGTTTGAAAGTGATGGTGGGCCACCGGTTTTGCAGAAGGCGCCACGTTTCGAAACGTAGAGAACGCCTCTACTTTACTGGAACAGCTTTTGGGAGTATACTTGAAACAAGAAACAAGATAGTTGCTTTTTTGCTCTCGGCATGATGGGAGTGGAGCAATGTCAGCGATGATCGAAAACGGTAAACCATGTTCACCTCTTGCCAACGGTCGCTTGCCGGTTCAGAAGCCGCGGTTCCAGGATCCACTCCTGTACCCACAAACGAACAAAATAATTGCGCAGAGGGCAAATAGGTTACATCGTTTCTTGTATGACCGCTCGGATGTGACTTCTGCGCACATTGCTGTGGGCTTCCCATGATAATTATTATCGACTTCAGTTGCCGTCCAGTCGATCTGTGCTTATGGTCGGAGTATGTTAAAGTCGTCCCTCAAATCGTTTCAAACGTCGAGGGTATGGACTGAAAACACACGCCCTTCCGTGTGAATGTGCATCGCCGCCGAAAACAACACATGAATGAAATGAACTCAAAACCTGCCACAACCACAACCCGGGACACGAGCGATGTCGCTATGCCTTCGGACAAAGACAGCTTGTTATGCTCTATTCAGGGTTGACTCACCACGACCATGTAGCCGGCGAGGTTCGCCAAGGTATCTAGCCTGTGTTGTTGAAGCCCAGGCAGACGGTGGTGGGGTACCATGGGACGAAGCAACGTCATGCCCATCCCTCTGACAGTATGAGGTAGCTTGTCCAGCAGCTGGGCAGAGAATACGAGGATGCAAGGCAAGTTGGGCTCGACCCGTGGCTTGCACCCGGAACAGCCGCTGGAAAACATAGACTAGGAGCTCAATACTTCAGAGGCAAATTAGCGAGGCGTTACACGCACAAATCTCTTTGGTTGCCACGCGAACGAAAAAATGCCGCCATTATTGCGGGAATAGAGTCTCCCGTACCTGGTTTATGAGATGATCGACGATCCGCTGAAGGCAGCGGAGTTTCGCGCGATGCATCGGGCAGTCGACTTCGGCTCTTCTCAGGTTCTTGGATACGCCCGCACCCATGACCAACGGATTGCTACATAGATTCGTTGCGATGACGGGAATCGTTGCGATGACGGGAATATGGAGTCCCGATCAGGTCAGGCCTAGTGCTCCGCAGATCGTTGGCCGCATGTAGAATTCAACCGGGACGTCTTCACCTCTGGATATAACATGTCTTTACCTCTGGCTACGATTTTTCCTAACCAAGAAGCCAGCCCTATGCGTAGTTCTCGTGGTTGGCACGGGACTCTCACATGCAAGGTCTCATGGACGACTTCGACGTAGGATCTGGCATGCACGAGGGGACCTAGGCCGTGAAGCAGCAGCGCACGAAGCATGCCCAGGAGGCATGAGAGTAACAAGGGGATTAGGAATTACCTGGCGTTGCCGACCGCATACAAGACGATATCCATGACCTCGTCTTCATCTTCAGCGCTGAACAAAAATGACGACAAGGAAATACGAAACGAAGTACAAGCTTGAGAGGTGGATCAAGTGCTTCTGGTTTCCCCTCCTGTCTGCGATGTGCAACGTCGGTTTCACGTGGGATTTTGTTTTCACTTACTTTGAGTGCACAGGAAGCAGGAGACTGTCGTGGAGTACCGCCAAAAAGCTGCCCGACCCTTTGCTCTCTAGAAGGATATACGCCCACATATGAGAATAAAGTCCAAACGCGCCAAGATACTTTCCCCTCGCATGAGCATTTCACCTTGTCAAGAGAGTCGGGATCAGATCGTCGTGTAGAGGAAGTCCGGCTTTGACAAGTTCCCTGTAAAGTCGTAGACGAAACCAGAATTCATCAGAATGTGTACGGTCATGCCTTGCTCAACGGTACTCCCACGATGCGAGTGCATAAAGTGCAAGATGTGTTTTTCAATCTCCGGCAACCTCATTCCTCATCACGTGATTACTTCCTCATTCGCCTGCCGCACAGAGAACTATCGAACGTCCTGCCTGTTGTTCGTTCGCGCTATTCTTGGTTTGTTGCTGACATGGCCAATGAAATCAATGCTGCTGTTGAGCGTAACTTACCGCAGATCGTCGAATGCCCCTCTTTCAGCCGCCAACCTTACCGCTTTCCTGGAGAGCGACTTAAACGTGTCTCGCCACGACGGAATGTCCGATATCACTTCCTCTGAGCCTTCGATTTCCGCGCTCGTGACCTCCGCACGTTGGTACGCCTAGAAACCATGCGAGAGCAACGCGTAGGGGGATGGATACCCTACGGAAAACCAGGCATAGATTATGCGGGTTTTCCATCGCACACGCATCTGTCACCAAGTGTTCGCCACGAGAGACTGCCGCAACATAATATTCACGAAGAACACGAGTTTGCCGAGGACTTGAACTAGCAGTAAGAGGGTGCCCGCGACAACGACTTATGTGACAGCCACCCTCACAAAAACAATTATGCACGGCAACGAAATGTGAACCCTTCGAATTTGGCAGAAGCGGTCCCTGGCATCTTCTGGAACCATAAACAGCTGCATGGCCGCGGAGGATCGAAGATTTTGCGTACCTCGACCAGGTCCCGCCAAATGACAGCCGTCACATTCCCCACACCCCGCCCGAAGGACGTGTGCACGTGTCGGCCGCACTCATGCATGGCCTGGCATTGCCCTAGCATAATCTTGTCCTGCGATGCTATTGGGAGATGGCGCAACAGCTGGTACAACGCACATGTATTGCAAGGCAGCGATGGGAAGGAGGTACTCGTGTCAAGAATGGTCAACGGATGAACGTTCGTTGTAACTGACTCCCTCATGACACTACACCATCTTCTCAACTCAAAAACAGGACTGCTACGCACTTTCCGCACGAGCCACTGCGAAATTGCATAATTGAGGGGACCCCTCACACTGAACGTTGAAAACAATAAACAAAACGCGTTCGGATCTGCGAAATTGGACACGTGATTGGTTCGACAAAGTTCTCCCCACCTCCTCTCGAGACCATCTTTGGTCGGTGAGGCGCTCGTACATCTCGTAAATCCTCTGGAACAACACCCAGTTCCCGCTCAGCGCCGCCCCGGCAAGCGGGGTGCTGCTACTCTTGACCGTCGTACGAGCCGACGACTTGCTTCCAGCAGGCTGCATTGTGTGGCTCCTTGACACGAACAGGTCTTTGAGGTTCCTAGTGATATCCTCATGCGTTTTAAACTCACATTTCGCAGCCTGCGGCAGCGTTAGTCGTTCCGCGAAACGATGGGTGTCAGTGATTGTATTTTGTGCTTGTACTGCAGTCGGCGGGGTTCCCTGTTGAGTTTTTGATCAGTTCCACGGGAAGATGTTTGTATGACACTCACCTCACGTCTGCTGTCTCGCACTTGGTGTACGCGTTTGATGTGGCCGCTCGTCACGCAGATGAGATACTTTTCGGCGACCTTCACAGTGGCTAATCGTATAGCGACGTAAGGGTTTGATTATGCAAGACCAACCAAGAGTGACCAAGACAGGCCGGTGTGTTTCCTCCAAGCGGTTTCAAACCACCAAGAGCTGGTATAATGGGAGGCGAATCACCACGCATCTACGATCTGAGCGGTGACGAGGAGGTTCCCCCCACATAGATGCACTGAAGGCACTCGGGAAGAAATTCCTTCGAAGGTGTAACGGGACGCCTTTGGGGTGGGCTCGATTGGTCATAGCCCTTGCTTGTAATCTTAAGTACCCGAGAGAAGACGATATTACTTGGACAAGTGGTACGAAAGATCTGTACAAGAAACGTCAAGACCGCAACAACACAGCACCAGCAATGGTAAGAATACTTCACAGTGGTTTCTCAACGTGAGTGCTAGCGGACAACACATGCAGCGCAGGAGAAAGACTACCACGGGCCGGCCGAAAACGGGTTACCGTTTTGCTCCCTGGAAAAAAGTGCCGAACAATTTCCATCCTCAGTTCGGACGGTGTGACGCAGCGGCGACGTGGTTGTTTCCAGTTGTCCGTATTTGGCTGCGGTGAGTCCGTCTGCTCGCAGTCATGGGACGTAGAAGTGAATCGACCCGCAAAATTCGTTGTCTGCGATAGGGTTTGGTGAAACAGTAGCCAAGCACCACAAGGCAAGACTATTTATTTTCGCTTACCTCCTGCAGGCAACTGTACACCGCCACCAGAACCTCGACACCTTGGCGTTCGCATTTCATCGACGCGGACGACGCGCACGTCAATGCGTTGATCTTATCTTGTGCTCCACGGACGTTCTTCCACAACTGCAGTGTATTACAGTAGAAGCGCGGGTCAGAATAATCTACGCTGGACTCGCCCCGTATACTGTTCGACCACAATCTGCCCATTCTTTCATGGACGCGAGCAACATGCCGCCACCAGATTGTACTTCCGCAAAGTAAAGTTCATGAAGCGAATCAAACACATGTTCAAGTAAGACACTACGGTATGCATGTGCTCAAGCAGACTTTGTTGGTTTCTATCCTGTTTGAATTTCCAGTTGTACGGAATAGGTGCACGGCCGCTGGAAAGGAGCACAGTGATGTCCTGCACGACAGCTTCTGCACTTTTAGGCGTGTGTCTGGACGCATTTCCCAGACAGTAAAAGAGGGCCCTACCAAACAACACAAAGCATTTAACCATTAACTCTCACAACTTTCAATGGAAGTACGCGTACCTCCTGAGGGTATCGCTGAGCCAAGAACTGGTAGACCCACAGCACCACTTCGACTTTGCCCGACAGGACGGCCTGACCGAACAAATAGCTTCCGCTCGATACGATCGCCTCGACTGCCCTGTCCACCCGTTGAAGCTCCTGGTTTGTGTACACCGTATGTAGTTGGTCGGCATTCCTGTCGGAGAGACCCTCAACGAAGCTCCCAGTCTACATCGGCCAGCAACGAAGAAGGTAGTGTCGGGCGGGGCGTTCAGCAGTTTGTGTCAACCAGACATGACCAACAAGCGCGCGCGTGTTGCAATCAAGATCGGTGCAAGCGTGACACGTCATTGCGCCCGGAACGTACCCTGCCTGCGGGAGCCTAGCGGACCTCTGGAACCTCATGATGTTGATCGAAGGTCGAAAATCACGATTTCTGAAATCGCCCACAAACCCACCTTAATTGCGTGCACAACGTGTTCGAGAACGTCCACATGTCCACCTTTCGCCGCAGCCGCCAAGAGCATGCCCCACCCCCACGCATCAAGCTCGCCTTGCTCGGGGGCGGCTTCGCCTTCCTTTGTCTCGCCTTCGCCTTCCTCCGTCTCGTCTTCACCTTCCATCGTCTCGTGCACAGCCACGCACAGGGCTTCTTCGATCGTAACAACCGTGTTGTTGGGCTTTCCTTGCCAGAACTTCGTGAGGCAAATCTTGGCCAGAATCAGCTGCAGGGAAGGCAGGCCTCCGCGTGCCGCGTGGATGACATCCGTAATAGCCGAGACAGCGACGTCAGCCCGGCCATCACGTGGCAATGCCATGACCTTCCGGCGTGCCATGAAGCTGCCTTTGCTGCCATAAAGCCAGAGTTTTTCAAACTTCTGCGGGAACTCAGCTGGATCTTCGATATCACCTGGAACCTCTGGCTCGCCGTACTTGGCGCGGAGCAGGTGGTGCAAGGGTGTTAGCCCATTCTTGTCGGGCTTGTGCATCGTTCCGTTAGCGGAATCGGAGAGTTTCCTTACCATCAGAAGAATCTCGTTAAGCACGTCCAGGCAGCCGGCTTCTGCGGCATGATGGAGCAAGTTTCTTCCCGTGTAGTCGACTTTGGTCAGTGTGATCGAAGGAGCACCCCCCCATCCCTCGACTGGGCTGGAAAACGTGCGCTGATGATAGTGGTACATTTTCCATGCGCGTTTGAAGACGTCCACACTGTTGCCTCGAGCAGCGTACATCACGATGTTTCTCCCCAAGTCGTCGCTTGCTGCAATCTGCTCCACAAGGCCGCCTGATTCAAAGAAAGGGGGCGCATGCGAATGCACGCCGATTCGTCTTCCCCGGGTTCCACGCCCCGCGTCGTGTTGCCTTCCTTACCCTGAACAACCCTTTCATCCCACGCGCCATGATATATGTTTGTCATACACACGCTCACGCTTGAATATTTGTGCTTCGGGCGGACGACGCCGGCAAAGCCGCCACTTTCACTAGTAGAAAATAAGGAAAATCATCATTCTTGTGAAGACGCACCAATTGAGCCGACGGTGGGCTTCTCCTGGCTCACCTTTCCCCAGGGCAGTGACGAGCTCATCAAACACCGCTTTGAAGCAGTTTTCGGAGCTACGGCTGGATATCGCCAGAAACAGCAAGGGCGTGCCGTTGATGTCCCACGCTCGTAGCTGCTTCACGAGGCAACCCACCCCAAGCTGGCACGCATACACACAAGCGCGCGACGCGGTTACATGCACGAATAGACCGTGAATGTGCGTATAGGCAGCCATCGACAGAGGGCATCCAGAGAGGTTGCAACAAACCCATTCGAAGACCACAGGGATCGAATGCCCCACTTAACATGACTTTGCTTGGCATGGCGCCAGGTACCCTGAATTTTGAGCCCGAACGTTTCTGGTCCAGTAAACTCGGAGATCGCCGTTATCGGAACAACGGTCTGTTGACAAAATCATGTGTGTCGTCTTGCATGATCCAACACGTCTTCCGCTCGGTCACGCAGATTAAACCGTGGAACATGACTACTGTACTTGAGCCAAAAGCAGTTGTGGTGTGCAGAGCGTCGCATCTGATCTCATACTATTCAAGCTTGAAGCTGTTGAATGACGTGCGTGTAGTTAGTGTCGCACCTTGTCTCGAACGTGTTGGACGAGGTAAAGAAACCACTCCTCCCGTCCCCATCTGGCAGCGTATGCCATGAGGTTTTGGCCATCTTCGGGATCACGCGCCAACAACGCTTGGTGCATCAGCGACTCTGAAATCTTGCCCGGAATTTTATCGACACGAGCGTACCCCTCCGCGACACTCTGACGGTCGCGAATGGCTGCGCGCAACTCGTACATTGCCTGCTGCTTCCACTGGAGACGAGGTGAACGAAGAAACGGGAATTGACGACGGGTTCGGCTTGCGTGACTAGGTGCAGTCCGAACGAAGGTTTCTGCGACCCAAACCGCCATGATCACGGGTAGTGTCAATAGTAGGAACGAAAGAAACCTCAGGTAGAGACACAAATGAAGCACAGAAATACAGGAACGACACTACACAGTACTACGACAGGTCCCAAACGGATGCGGACCGAGACCGACAACTACATCATACACGAAATAATGCATGGCACCATCACAACAACATCAGGGTGACAGGCTTGGAGACAACGGTATCCCCTAGGCCGGAGGCACCCTCGCTCGTTGCCTCTGGACGATGTGAACTTTCGTACAGAAAGACAGCCATTTGTTGATCTGAAACAACCACCATTATTCATTCACAAGCGTCGAGCCTTTTTACAGAATACTGCGTCTGGTCCAAAATACTTTATGAGATCGGACACTGGGCGAAACTTCTCACGAAGACGCTGTATCGCGGAGGCCCCGGAGTTCGATCCCCGCTCGAAACACATTTATTTTCCACTGAAACACTTCGTTGTTTTCAAATCTATATTTCTTCCCTTCTTTTCGCCTCGCTCCAAGTGTCTCATTTTTGCCACCCTGACGCTTTGCTTCCAGTCCGCACCAAAGAAAACGTACGAACCATTGAAAAATTATTGTGGTCAGGTTAGGTCAAGTAGCCAACATTACAGCGAAAAACAAACGTCGGATAATTGTATTGGGGGGGGCGCACCAGAAATAACGACGCACTTATTTCCTGACAATTTTCGCTTGAGATGACTGCCGACTGCGTTAATGATATTCTCAGGGGGAGAAGGGAAATGTCATCATCCCCGTGTTATTTATTACCTAAAGCAGCGCTACCCGGAGCATCATGTCAATAAGTATTTCCAACAGGAACAGTACACACCAAAATAAACTAGAACCGACCCATCTTCCAATAGTTATTGCACCATCCAGTGTTGAAGATCGGTCCGAAATAAGGTTCGATACGATACCCCAACCGTCTCGACAAAAAAACGTCGATACCGATAGTTTCTTCGATATTCAGAAAATGGCTCGATACGTAGCGAGTACCGATGCTCGATACCGACACAACCGTTACGGGGGTTGTTTTCTGTTTTCGGAGCAAATAGCATCATGGATCAACCTTTGACAGCAATCAGGACTGGCAGCCTCCCTACCATAGGCGGGGCTCTGTGATGAATCGTCTGCATTTGCTTCCGTTCAGTCAAGTAATGTCGACCTCCCCTTGGACAGGAAAAAACGGCGGCCTGGCGAAATCAACGGCCACCCGGGGGCCCCGAATGGACCAGTGTGGAGGGTATCGAATACCGATATCTCGATACCGATACTGATTCGTATCGAGATATATCGGCGTGGAAACCGGCGATACCGATATCGCGTACAGAACGCGCCACCACTTAAGAACTTCGCAGTTAAGAACTTGAGCGTCAAATAACCCGAAATCTAGAAATTTGTCCGTAAGAAAATGTGCTCAATTCCGACGTGGCAATAAGAACAAGAGCCCGCCCTCATGCCGTACCAATCAATGCGCATACAGATACGAACAGAGCCCCAAAGCGCGGTGGCTGCAAGATAAGAACTCAGGAAGGTTAGGGGTGACCCAAAAAGCAGTTAGTTTCACATTCTAGGCGCGGGGGGGGAGAGGACCTCGTGATAAAATGATTGTAGGGAGGGCGTACTCTCTCTCATGTTTCGCATGCCTTCGCGCTTAGACCATTGACCATACGTCCTCGAGAGGACGCATAACTGTTCCCACAGGATCAATCCCTGGTGCCAATCGTTCCTTCCTACATATGTATATACTTCGAAGTACATTGCCAAAGGTGTCTCAAAAATATTTTCCCTAGCCTATCCGTCCTATCGATACCACCACTGCCCGCCTTTCAACCCACTTCCTGTGCCCCAGTACAGCTACCGTCTTCTCCTGGCTATTCCATGCCTTAAGCATATCCCTATACCTTTCCTTCTACTTGTCCAACTCAGTCATGTACATTTCTCTACCCTTGTCGCCCAACACGGACGTTTCGCAACAACATGAACCCGGTCTTCGCACTATGAGTCGCATTCGCATTTGAACTTGTCGTCTTCATCGTTTTCCTTCCTGAATGTTCGTAAACGTCCTCAAAGGTCGTTGTCCCCAGTCCTTAATTTGACCTTCGGCTTTGTCCCTGCATCCATTGGTCCATGAAGGTACTCCTTAAATCTATTCTTTCTTCGACATCCGTCGATTTCGAACCCCTTCCATGCGTCATGTGCAACATTTAACCCACTCCGTAGGTTGGTACATCAACTAGTTTCGTTTGCCCACTTCGCCTCCTAAGCCATTATCGGCAACCTCTCCTCTCCCATACCGTACATGTGGTACTGTCATCTAGAGGGGGATTTTACCACTTCATTGTTGTACTCTTACAGAAGTAGTGTCTCGTGATGAAATCCACTCAGAAAGACCTGCGTCTTCTGCATTGGGCAATCGGTGTAGGAATAAGAACAACAATCCCGTTTATTGCAGGTGGATGCCTGCTCAAATAAGAACTTCGAAAATAAGAACTTGTACTCGGTAGAAAGCAACCAACAAGCGTCGAG